AAAAAAAAAAGCTCTTTACCAAGAAAACAAGCATTTTACCAAAAGGGCTACCATATTTCCAGTTGTGACTTTGCCCGGACCGTATATAACTCCAGGATATACCGGCACTATTGGCACTCCGGCGGATGCAGCTTCCAATGCTATCTTGTCAGCTACAGCCTTTGATTTCTCATACTCAGTACAAAAATGTTTGGCAGAATGTACCTATCAAAATTCACAATATGGTAAACATATTTGAACAAAACCTCAGATTTCTTACCATCAGAAAATAATTTTAACTGGTGTAATGAACATCTCCATTACTTGTTTCTCATCCCCAACAGACCCATCAGTCGATCCCAATGCAAAAAACGACGACGTGTAGATGATCTTCTCGACTGTTGGTGTCTCCTTATATGCCTTCAACACGTTCTTCAATCCGCCAATATTAACCTAATCAGCTCTCCAAGTCAATCAGAACGAAAACTCAACAAGGCACTCTCGTCCATAACGAAATCTGAGCTCTAATTCAACTACATTAAGAGTAGAAAATTTGAAAATTTTCACATTTGAGAAGAGTCTTACTGACGAGAATCTGGAGGGGTCAGGAATCCAGGGCTCGACAAGCGCGGCAGCGTGAAAGATGGTGTGGCAGCCGGAGAATGCTTCCAGAAGCGATGGGTAGTCGGTGACGTCGCCGTAGGCGAGCTGGAGAGATCCGTCCCCGTCGTTAGGCCGAGGCAAGGCGGAGATGTCGCTGGTCTTGCGGATGAAGGCCTTGACGGTGTAGCCTTGGTCGAGAAGCGCGTGGCAAAGCCTGCCGCCTAAGAAACCGGAAGCGCCGGTCACCAGTACCACTTTCTTCATGTCCGCCTTTGTCCGATCAGGAAAGTCAACTGGCTAGGATGACTGAGCAACCTATACAAATGACTGAATATAGGCCTCGTTAACGTTGACGACTTGATAAGACTAAGGGTATAATCAATTTCACTTTTACAGACTTTTTTAGACTCCGTAGTTTTCATATATTCATTTTTTTCATTTTTTTTTTTTTTTTTAAAACGACAGTGATATTATAAACTCAAACCAAACGTACAATGTTCGAATACAACGGGCCACACCCGAAAATTAAAACTGGGAGGACACGCTTAGAGCAGCCTAGAACAAGGAAATCAAACCAACTACCTCTGCTAAAACTCTCCACTGCCACAATAGAGAGATAACAAAGAACTCAAAGAACACAAAGAGCAAAGTCTACTGGGACACCCAAAATCAACATCTAACAAATGAAAAGGAAAATAAAATAACAAGTCTATAAACCATGTAATTGACAGAACTCCATCCATTCTTCCTGTGCTGATTTGATAATCCCATGGGCAGGCATAGTTTTTGATATAGCCACACTGTCGTATAACGGTTCAATACCATCGCGGTTCAGAGATTACCGAGTCGACTTACGCAAAGTCGACCCTGTCCGCAGACTCTTTATGATATCTCCGGTCAAGGGTCCAGGCATTTCTTTCAGTCGACTTCCACATGTCGACTAGCATAAGTCGATTGCATCCGGGAAGACGGTCAAGCGCGTCAGGGTCTACTGACGATTGAAGATGACCCAGTCGACTCGAGTTGATATCCCCAGTCGACTGAGGAAGTCTTGAGGCTCGTAGATCTCGACGACTCCAGTACACTTCAACATATCATAGGAAAGTTGTCAAGGATAAGAAGGAAGCTACTAAGGATAAGAAGGAATCTAAATGCTGACTAGGAGAGGGACGGAATGCGAACCGACCAGGGTACTTTGGACATTTCCAGTAAGTCGGCCAGGGCATCTTGGGAACTTCAGGTAAATGTCTTGCTCCTATATAAAGGAGCTGAGGTAACCCCAAAACCCTAACTCCCATTCATTCCATACTCTTCTCCATTACTGCTGCTGTTCTCTCAGAGAAGCTATCTTCGTCTCTTTCATATACTGACTTGAGCGTCGGAGGCTCTACGCCGGAAACCCCTCCGGCGTTGAGTTCTTGCAGGTCTTCTCGTGGTTCGGCAACGGTTCAGAGGCTATCGAGTCAGATCTGAGCTCATTCCCATCGGTTCATTTCAGATCTGGGCAGTTTTCCATCGGTTCACTCCAGATCTGAGAGGAGACCCATTATTTTGGCGCCGTCTGTGGGGAGTTCATGATGGAATTAAGAGCTTTACACCTAGCTTTGATCTGTCTCTGATGGCTGAGAAGGAAGGACTGCAGATGAATTTGAATGAGGATTTCAGGGCAACGTGGACTGACAAGCGACCTCCGCCGATTACCAACCCCAGGCCACCTCTCCAACTGCTTGGTTTCCCACCGTTCGGAGCAGACGCGCCGTCAGGAGCGCGTATGGGGGAGGAGACACCTATCACCCCACCTGGAGCCAAGGTCCCAGTGCTCACTCAAGGGGAGGCCAGTCACGTGAAGGACACGAGCAGAGAAGTTGATGGTCATGCATCGACCGAAACATCTCTGAGATTGGGGAGACAGCCTGGGCGACTTGAACAGGAAACAAGGCCGCCACCCCAAGTCGAGGAACAAACGCTAACCATGACGAGAAGCGAGATGCAGAGGATGATTGCAGAGGCAGTAGCGGCCCAAATCAAGCAGACGCAGACCGACCAGCCCAGGGTCGAGCAGCCAAGGGTCGAGCAACCTCGAATCGAACAGCTTCCCCCGGAGCATGAACAGCAAGCCCAATCCCACGAAAGACAGAGTAGAAGGGCGGACAAAGAGGAGTCTTCTGTCAGAACTGTCAATCCACAAGCAAGGAACGACACTCTCGAGCAGTTGCTAGCTCAGGTGCGAGGTCTGTAGGCTCGAGTCGAGGGGAGAAAAACGGGGAGCTCAAGAGAACACCCCTTTTCGCAACATATTCTAGACGCCGACTTGCCTCAGGGTTCAGAGAGCTTAACATCTGGTACGATGGGTCGACTGATCCCTCTCGACATCTGAGGAGTTTTGAAAACATGGCAGTACTGCACCGCTACAATGACCCTGTTCAATGTCGAGCGTTCCCGACGACTCTGCGAGGACCTGCGCAAGACTGGTTTCAACAATTGCCCCGGGAGCCGTCAGGGACTTTGACGGATTTAGCTCAAGTTTTCTAAACCAATTTGCAAGTGTGAAGGCCCAAGAGAAATCTTACCTTACTTTGATAGGCATGCAACAGAAGGAAGGAGAATTATTGAGGGATTACGTGGCGAGATACACGCGGGCGTGCGTCGACGTCCCCTCGGCCACTGAGGAAATCAAGTCGGGTAGACTCACTAGAGGACTCCTCCCAGGATTGTGCAGAAACTCCTTAGCAAAACGACCCGGGAGGACGTTCGATGAGGTTTTAGGAAGGTGCGCCAAATACATGAATGTCGAGGA